CCCAGGGCCTCCTTAGGTCCTCAGCTCTGGATCACAGTGGCAGGAGAGGGGGAAGAAATGTTATAGAGAGGTGGAGGCTGAGGGAGGCTGGGAAGAGGAGGGGTCCATGGCCCTTCTTTTCACCTTTCTCTTTAGGGTGCCCCCATAATGCCCACCCCCTTTCTCACACCCAATCCCTTTTTTTAAAATTAATTTTTCCTTTGTCTTAAAGACACCCTAGCACTCCCACCGTCAAGAATCCCAAATGCAAAGCCTATGTCAAGTATAGAATCTAAACCCAAATTTTATTTTTATGAAGATGACTGCCCATTCTCTATTTTCTGAACTGCTATTAGGACAAAAAAAGAAGAATAAAAATAAGAAGAAGAAGAAGAGAAAGAAAGAAAGAAAGAAAGAAAGAAAGAAAGAAAGAAAGAAAGAAAGAAAGAAAGAGAGAAAGAAGGAAAGAAAGAAAAAGAAAGAAAGAAAGAAGAGAAAACAAAAAAGAAAAAAGAAAGAATGAAGTCAAAAGTAAGGTGGGACTGACGGTAACAATTTTCTAACCATTCAGTCATTCATTTATTTATCTTTAAGCCTATAAAGGTGTTTCCCCCTAAAGGCAGACAGTGAATATTTTATTTTAATCTTGTAGTTTCCATCGAGACAGACCTTTAACCCTTCATTCTCCAGCTCTGCCCGAGTCCCCCGTGCCAGGCGATCCTCCGCACGAGGGCTGGGACTGTAACTCTCCCTCTTGGAGCTGTTTGTTGACCACATTCACGTTCAGAGCCCTGGAGCTAAAAGCACTTTACACCATAAAATAAAAGCACTGTCTTTTTTTCTAAAAGGTTACGTCTGGAGGCCACGCGGCTCATACTTCATACCGAAAACTACTGAAAGGACTATGAAATCCTCTATGATTTACACTCTCTCACTGCATTAGGGTATAGATCTACTCGACTCTAAAAATACGGTGGGTTTCTAACCGACGTGAATATATGTGCATTATTTCAGAAAGTCTGTTAGAAAACTTGTCAACACATTATAAAGCATAAACCAGGACTTGGCTATTAAGTACGGAGATCAGAGGCAGAATATATACTGCAGGAAGTCCTGGGGAGTCTCCTCCGCGGGCAAGATAAAAAGGGGGAGGAGGGGAGGGGAGGGGTCGTCTGTTGGCCTGGAGTTTACATTCAATGTCGTCACCAAAGGTTTGGGAAAGAGCCCACGGAGCGTAATTAGCAAAGGTTCCACAGCTCCAAATTAAGTTAACTGAACGGCCAGAAAATAATTTTAACGTTGTCATAATTTATTACTTTCTAAAAGCCACTTTGGGAAAGGTAAATATACTTATTGTGTATCCAAGTGTGCGCGTTTAAGGTGACCTTTCACCCCTCTACAAAAGCACCTGCATCATTAATCAGTACTTATGTAATATTTTTAAGCCTTTTAAAACAACACATTTTTCTTTCTTTAAACACACGTACAACCTTCCCCTCCCCCCACTTTTGAGCGCTTTAGCGAGCATCCAGCAGGAATGAGGGAGGGGGCGTCACTCCTAGGGGCGAGCACGAGGGACCGGCAGTGGGGGTCTGCGACGAGGAGGGATCAGATGCCAATACACAGCCCAGGTTCTCTGGACTGGGTGAAATCAGGCTGGGGGAGGGGCGGGAGCGGAGGGCAGTTCCTATTTCACTCTGGGCATTTTATGGTGGTGAAATTAAATATATGTTAATGGTGGAAACGTCGCTGCTTACTTCTCCATTGGCACCCAGGGAAAGCAGCTGCAAAACTGGGTTTTTAAGGTATGTTTTAAGATGTGGTTTCGGAAGGAACCCCCTGGAATCTGAAACAAGTGCAATAACATAGCAGACCTACTTGTAACTAAGTGCTTAATTTCCTATGATTTTTTTTTAAAGAAAATCAATAAAATGTTGCCAGTTACTTATTGGAAATAACCACAGATAGCGGCCCTGATAGGGTGCCGGTTTTAGAGAGCACACAATTGTGTAATGAATTGTAATTCAGAAGACTGTTAAATGTGAACCACAGAACCTTTCAGAGGTAATAAAGTCATTACTTTTTACACTACAGCCAACCCTGAAAAGCTTTATACACACCATTATATATAAATCATACATATATATTTCCATAACACACATTCGCCCATGTATATGCCTTCCCTATATATGGACTTTTATGGATGGATGGGGGAAATACTTAAATTTGAAAAACTCGGTTCCGAAAGAATCTGATTCACTATTGTTACCTGAAGAGGCTGTTATTTTATTTATTTTTCAAAAACCTCCCAGTTGCACTTTATTCTTTCTCTCCTCACCTTCCCTCCAACCATTCTTCTCCACGCAGCCCCCCTCCCGTGCAATGACACTCTTTTGGTCGTTCTAAAGCTAGTTTAAATGGACGACGACGAAGAACAAGAAGGGGAGGAGGAGGAAGGACAAGAAGAAGAGGAAGAAGAAGAAGAAAAAAGACAGTAGTGGGAGATGCCGACCTGCTCTGAAGAACTCATGAAAAAGGGGAAATGGTGTAACGCACACACTACAGAGCTTTACTGCAAGTGACTCTTCCTGCTTCTTAAACAGGATTTGAGTGCCCCCCCCAAACTGGAGAGAAACAATAACAACAAAACACATTTACACAAACCCAGTTCAGCACACATCTCTCCTAATGTTGAGCATCAAAAACCTCTCTTTCTTCCTTAGTGGGGCCCGAAGCTTCGCGGAGCCGGGCAAGCCAGTCATTTTCTAATAGGTTTGAAACTTTACTAAGACAACACGAGAATAAACAGCCGCTTGCCGGCACCGCAGGGAGGTGGGTGTGCGCTTGCAAGCCAGGGGCTTCAGCTTAAAGCAATAAAGCCCCCAGCCGGGTGGGTGAATTTACGGAAACGACGTCCTTTAGACTGAGGAGGGGGAAAGAGAAGACGCGAGGGGTTGTGGAGCCGCTTGGAGGAGAGGGAAGGAAGGCTCCTCGTTCTGCAGACACACACTCACACACGTCCACCTGCAGCTCGGAGTCTCGCGGGCCGCAGCGACCCGCCTCCACCCTGCACCCTCCGCGTCTCCTTTAGACTTGAGTCCGTTTGCCTCCCCCCCCCCCCCCGCCCTTCCTGATTTGGAATCGCAGCGCGGTCTAGGCGGCGGCGGCTGAGGCTACAGGGTGGCGCAGGCAGGCGGGGAGGCTGGGAGGCGGGAGACGCCGGGGGACTTTGCAGACACGTTTCTGAATAAACTTTCCAATCGCAGGGGGTGCTGTTGCTGTACATTTTACGTAAAACTGAAAGTATCCCACGCCAGAGTGAAGCCCGCTTTTTGACAGCGGCAGCACGCGCGCGCGCGCGCGCGGGTGTGTGTGTGTGTGTGTGTGTGTGCGCGCGCGAGCGCGTGTGTGCATTAAAGAGACAGGGGTTTATTTCCAACAGGTCTTTAATTTCCCGGGAACGTCTGTAGAAAGGCCGGAGGGGCCTGCAGGCTCCAGGGTGTGCGCCTTGGCTCTGGGCGTCTGAGCAGCACGGCGTTGACCCAGGGCGGTCACCCCACCACCGTGGTCTCCCCGCCGCTCCTGCGAGCCAGTCGCTCTCTCTCCATTCCCCATTTTCTTTCCCCGGGTAACAGCACAGGCATAGTTGTGCCCTGCCTGTAAGAAACATTTTTCTTTCCATTCCTCTATGCTTTAGCAGTTGCTCTTGAGTGGGAGGGGGTGTGTCCATCCCTGGGACCCGGCCCGAGGACCTCCCGCGGCGCCGGAGCACGTTCCCAGGAACTGGAACTCTCGGGACTACCCCTGCTTTGTCCTCTGGCCCGCGGCCGCTCGGTGAGGTGGACGCCTCGGCGCCTTCCTAGCCCCGGGCCGCGGCGCTCCCCTCTGGGGGCTGGAACGTGCCCCGAGTCTGGCTCCTCATTCTTTATTCCTTGTCCTTTCTATTTTCGACCCTTGGGAGCCTCAAGTCCGTGCTCCCAGTTTCATTCAGACCCAGTCACTTGTCAGGGCGCTCAGATCCCAGCTTTCCCCCGGCCTCGCCCTCGGCTCGGCCTTGGGGGTGCCCTCCAGCCCGGGCCTGCGCCGCCTCTCTCGCCCTTGCGCCCTCTCTCCAGGCTGCCCAGGCACCTAGAGGCCCTGGAGCTGCCTTTCCGGACCCGCAACCCTCCAAACTTGGGCTGGACTCCGTTTTGCTGCGCGCTTCCTCCTGCCTTCCCTCGCCCGCTGCGGAGCTGTAACTTGGAGGCTCAGCTCTCAACTTCGGGTGATTTTTCTTTGCTATCCTCTCCTCAGGCAAAGTTTCCCGAGCGCAGCCCCGAGCTCAGGGCTTTTACTGCAGCCCTGGGCGTCCGCACACGGGGAGCGAGCGCGGCAGCCGCGCGGCGGTGAGGGGAAGTGGGTGTGCGCACAGAGGAGGGTGTCCGGGAGCAACTCTACCTGGCTTCCCTCCGCCCGCGCTTCCCGGGACCCAGGCTGCAGCCTCGCCGTACACTCTTGCCTTTTTTTTTTTTTAAGTAATCTTTCATTTTGGGGTCCGCGTCCGGGGGGGAGCAGGGCGCACGTCTCGCTCCCCCCACCCTGCTCCCCCCCAACCCCGCCGCCCCTTTCTTCTCTCCCGGCCACGCTGCCGCCGCGGCGCTAGCTGCGGCCACTGGTGAGCCCGCGGCCCCAGCGCCCCCTCCCCTCCGCCCGCCCCTCCCCCGGGGGCCGCGTCTGGCGTCTGCGGAGCCCCCCGCCCCGCACCTCCCCCGCCCCGCACTGGCCATTGGCTTGTCCTGGTCTCTTTTTCATGTCCAGCCCCTGATGTGTGTCCATTGGTGTGAGCTTCCCCTTCCCTCCTCCCCTTCTCTCCTGCTCGCCCTGCCCATGTTTTGTGTGTCTCTGTCCATCCAGACTCCTGACGTTCAAGTTCGCAGGGACGTCACGTCCGCACTTGAACTTGCAGCTCAGGGGGGCTTTTGCCATTTTTTTCATCTCTCTCTCTCTCTCTCTCCCTCTATCTCTCTCCTCTCTCTCTCTCTCTCTCCTTTTTTTTTTTTTTTTTTAAAAAAAAAAAAAGCCATGACGGCTCTCCCACAATTCATCTTCCCTGCGCCATCTTTGTATTATTTCTAATTTATTTTGGATGTCAAAAGGCACTGATGAAGATATTTTCTCTGGAGTCTCCTTCTTTCTAACCCGGCTCTCCCGATGTGAACCGAGCCGTCGTCCGCCCGCCGCCGCCGCCGCCGCCGCCGCCGCCCGCCCCGCAGCCCACCATGTCTCGCCGCAAGCAAGGCAAACCCCAGCACTTAAGCAAACGGGAATTCTCGCGTAAGTAACCCAATAATAGTAATAATAATTATTAATAATCACGAGAGCGCGCAGGACGAGAAGTAAGAGCGAGGGGGAGAGAGGGGTGTGTGCATGCATTTTTTAATTTTTTCACGAGATGAACCTCCGAGAGTCGGGGTAAAAGAGCTTAAAGGGAGAAAAACAAACAAACAAACAAAAAACAAACCTCATCCTATCCCGAACCACAGCCGTACGTACACTTTTGGGATAGCACGCACCTTTTAATTTTTATTTAATTTACAAAAATTTGACTCCTCCTCTTTCATGCTTTCCGCTGCTTTATTTCGCTTTTCGAAAAGGAATGCAATGATTTCCCCTTCAATTTTGCAAAATAATGAACAATGCTATGGATGCGAACAACTCTCTTGCAAACCTAGAGGAGGGAGCTGGAGGGGAAAAGGGGGGTTGCTTCCACTCACCGAAGGAAGGAAAACGGGGCGGGAGGAGGGAGCCCAAGCCAAAAAAACAAATCCCTGGGAGAAAAGAGGTGAGACTGGCCCTCGGATAGCAGCGCGCTCACGGTCAAGTGTGCCATCAGGAGGAAAGTAGTCATCTCCACAATAGTGAGAAAGTGGGATTGTGGGAGGGGGCCCCCCGGCGCTCTGGAGTCTGCCGAGTGTGGAGAGGGGCCGCGGCGGCTGGGAGAGCTTGGCGACCGGGAAGGACGGGAGTCTCGGCCGGCGCTGCCGCCTTTTGTTCCGGCCCGAGGTGGGTGTTTGTCCCGCTGCCTTTTGTGCCGGCTCCTCGCGCTTGCCCTTCCGCGCCTCCGCCGCCGAAGTGCAGGAGCAAGGGCCCAGGGCGAGCGGGAGATGGAGGGAGGGCGCTCGGGCCGCAGCCGCCTGGGTTCCCGCTGCCCGCACATCCCAGACAAACCTCAGTGGCGGCGAAAAGACGTGAAAAATAAAATAAAAATAAAAACAAAAATAAAACAAGGCAAGAGGATGTAAAATTTCTTGCCCCCAAACAGAAGCCAAACGCTCAGCCAGCCGTTTTCTGCAACGCTCTCCTCTGACTCCCCCACCCCCCCTTAAAAAATCTCAATCTTTATTAGAGGGGGAAAAATACAATTACCCCCTTCCCCAAAACCCCTTTGATTGCAAACTTAGAGCGCCGGCGGCGTGGAGAGGGAGCGAGGAACTCCCTCCTCTTACTATTTTTTGGAAGATTTTCAAAAAAAGTGGAAGTGGATTTTGATTGGGAAAAATCTCGTGTCTGAATGTTTACAAGCACCGCGTGTGCGGGAGCCTCCTGCCAACAAACAGACAGAGGACCGAGCGCCGCGCGGCAGCCCGGGAGCGGGCGGCGGCGGCGGTCGGGCCTCGCCCGGGCCTCGCCGGGCCTCGCCGCGCCCCCGCCCTGCTCGAGATCGCCCACCCCGCGCCAGCCGTCTGCCCGCCCGCACAGCGGCAGGCCGAGCGGCGACTCCGCGCCAGCCGGGTCCACAGTGCACTCTCGCCCCCAGCACAATGCCTAGACCTTCTCCGAGCCCACCAGACTGCGAAATCGGCTGGGGAGAAACTCAGCTTTGCGAAGCATTTTTATTTTTCAAAGCAATTGAAAAAGCGCGTCTGCCGCCCCCTCCCCCCGCCCCCGGACGTTCTTGTCCACTGCTCCGGACCGCGGGGAGGTCACCACGTGCTTTCCTTGCCCCCCTCCCACTGGGTCTGGCCACTAGCCCCCGCCTCCCGAGCGCTGCCAGACCAGGTGTGGGGGGGTGAGATGGGGGGGGGTGGGAGGTGGGCATAGTAGTATGTGCGAGTGTGTGTTTGGGGAGTGCTGGATCCCGGTACTCCGTGCACCCCACCCTTGAGTTCCTACTCTCTAACCCGGGCCTGTCTTGGTCAGCGGTGAGGGGATGGCGGTGGTCCTTTTGAGTCTTTATGGGGTGGCGGGTGGGTTACTGGGTCCTGGCTAACAGAGTGCGTCTGGAAAAGCGGGCGGTGGGCACTTAGGAAAGTTTGGCAGCCGGGGAAAGAAAGGCGTGAGAGGGCCCACATCCCTTCCCCTCCTCCTTCGTGACCCTTACTTTAATTTCTGATGCAATTTAAAAACACCACCTATACCCAATTTTGTATTTATTAAAGGGTTGGGGGGTGCGCATAGGGAGTTGAATTTTTCACTAGGCCCTGGAACTTGTCACACACTTCGGAAGCTCCCCCGCCCCGGCACGTTGCGGGGCCCTCCCTCTCCCCACCCCCGCGCATCCCTCCCTCGTCGCTCTCCCCCGCCCCCCACTCCCCCGGCCGCGCCGGATGCGGAGCAGACGCGGCGCGCGGCGGTGTGAAGTTACAGCCCGGCCAGGTACCGGCGGGAAGGAAGGGCAGTGTTCGCAGGACTCGGGAAAGCCCGGCCCTTCTTCGGAAGGATGCACTGGGGGCTCAAAGGACCGACTGAGGCGTGCAGTCCGGGCTGCTCCCCTGTCCCCCACCCACCCGCGGGTCCATCTCGGGACCCTCCAGGCTGGGTGGGTTTAGCCGGCCTCTAGCCTTGTCTCAGTGCGGTCTTTGGGTTAAGGGACTAGTATGGAGGGGGTGCGGGGGCCGCTTCTTTCTCATTCTCTGGGTGCGCAGAGGGGGCGGGAGCCATTCCGGTCTTCAAGACCCCCCCCCCCCCCCCAATCCTCCGCTTCTTGGGCTGACTGAGCCATTCGGTCGCTAGGAGGCAGAACAAGATCAAGAAAGCTCAGCGAACTTGAACCTGTACCAGAGCCTCCCCCACTCCCTGCTCTGCGTTTCTCGGCCCGGGAGGGACGAGCTTTGCGAGGGTGGGGGTGGGGGAAACGGACGGTTAGGCAGAATTCCCTTTCTCCCCCCATCACCCCTTATGTCTTTGTTCTTCATTTTGACTTTAAAAATGCTCCTGGCCAGGGCTGCGGAGAAGCGCTCGGGAGCGCGGTGGACAACCGGGTGCGCCGGGCGCTGAGTGGGGTGCAGTTTTCGCTTTCTTTCGGGGCGGGCATTTTTGGTAGGGGGGAAAAGGGGAGTACGCACTTTCAGCTTTCGAGGCAAGGCCAAAGGGCGGTATCCAGCAAGTTTGCATTTAGTCTCCCGGTTCACTTCTTTTACCCCACACCCCCGCGCAAAGGACGGACAACGGCGGCTACGGTGGGCTTGCACGGCGTCTCTGCAGCCCGACCTCTGGCTCCCCCGCCTCCTGCAGCTCTCGCCTCGGAGCCCGAAATCACAACAATAGTAATAGTTATCATCATAATGATGCGGGCTAGCAGCATCATTAATAATGAATAACCGCAGCAGCCACCGCCGCCGCGCTGCGCACACTCGTGCCCGGAATTGCGGGAGAAATGCATTTGCAGAGATTCCCCCAAAGTAAAAAGTGTAAGCCTGGGGACACAGAATGAATTTCGGGGCCCGCGCTTGAGATGTGTGTGTGTGGTGATACCGATACTGCACCAGGTTAACCAGCCGAGTTTTCCAAGCCTCACTTCCCATTTCTCCAACTGGCGGGGCCAGGGAACGGTGGTCACCCTGAGGCCGGGCTGGACGGCGGTGGAGGCGGCAGTAGGGGCCCCTGGCTGCCCGTCGCCTCCCGGCCTGGCCCGGGCCCCACGGCCCGGCAGCCGCCGCTGCACGTGTTTGCAGCCAGCGCGGCCGGAGGCTGCAGCCAGCAAGCTGCTTGCTTTGTGCCTCAGAGTCCCGGCGCCCAACTTCACTTTCGGCAAAGCCCGCCCCCGCTGGGCCCCCTGTCCCGGGCCTGTCGCCCTAGCCTTCGCTTTTGTTTCTTTGCTTTTCCTCTCCGCATTTCAGACTTGGTGTGCTTCCTTACCCTGTTAAGACAATCAAAAGGAAGGACTTGGAAAGCAAACTTGAAGGCATAGCTCCTTTTCCCCTCCCCCTTCCCCAGCAGCCCTCGTTTCCCTCGCTCCTTCCCTACATTTCTTCTAAAGCTTTTTTTTTTTTCTTTAAATTTATTCCTTTGCAACTGCAGAGAGGAAGGAGATCTCAGTCAGCCGCTGGGGCATTGAGACGTTCCAGTCTGTTTTGCTGTTTCAACGCAGAAGCATTTTATTTCCTATTTCTTTCTCCTCTTGTAGAGAATTCGCGGCTAATTATTATGATTATTTGCCCACTCCCTTCCACTTCAATCCTGGACTCCCCGCTTTGTAGCGGGAGGTTTAGGCCAGAGCTTAGAAAGGATGGTATTGTGGGGGCGAAAGAGGATGGAGTTGAATTGAGGGAGGGGGTAAAATGGCTGAGGTTAGGAATGTTTTTAGGGAAAGAGGAATTTGCATTAAAATACAGAGAAATTATCAGATGCCCAGAAAGGAAATGTTGATTACCACTGAGAAAAGATGTCAATGCAAATCAGTAGACTACACCAAGAGAATGGTATTTTCATATTTTCTTTGTGCCTCACTTCGTCTTATTTTTAATAATATAGCAGCAATAATAAGAACACGTTTTGATATTTCTCTGAACATTACTAGCCAAATGTTTTGCAAGAAGCCCGATGTTAGACGTATTTCATACATTAGGATATAATTCTTGTTAATTAGCAATAATTTACGTTAAGAGCATAGAAAATGTTGAGGTTACAGGTTTTATATCTGTACATTTGATCATCTTGTTATTTTCAAGAACTTTGCCTCCTATAAAATTAATTAGGTGAAATGTGGAGGTGTAATCAGCAACCTCTGAATTACCACTTCATTTCCTGGTTTTGATTGTAAATCAGTTCAGTCACTACATTTAGAAGACTTTAACCAAGTCTGTTTGCACCGCATTACCTTTAACTATTTGATACCTAGGAGAATGTTTCCTTTTGTTCCTAAATAATATTTCCATATTCAGAAATATGTCAGGCCTTGGGGATAAAAAAAAAAAAAGAATCTTAATGGTGGAGTTTAAAAAAATGTTTTTTTTTTTTTGGAAAGGTTCTACGTAGTACTAACTTTAATAAAGCAAAGAGTCTTTCTTTAATCTCTGAACCTCAGAACTTGTAGTTAATGCTGAACAACAACAAAAAGCCACATTTGTCAATGTGTCCTTAAAAATCCTTAATTCAAATATCAGTGATCTTGGGGATGACTTCCCTATTCAGTTCCTCACTTGGTCAAAATGAAAGCAAATGTAGGAGAAAAATGACATAGAGGCATAATGCAAAAGCACTTCCGTTTATCTCCTTTTATTTAAAAAGCGTGCATGTGTATTCTGTATTTGTCTTTTGGTCAGTATGTTGGGCAAAGAAACATAAGTGCTTACCTTGCTGCCTTTATTAGTGGGAATATAACCTTCATATTCCTGTGGTGACCTTATGTTAAATTAGGAGGAGTACCAGAGGCTAGAAATTATGACATGTCCTACTTGAGCACAGGTGCAGCTAGGCAGGGCTCTCTCAATATTATTTCACCCAGCACATCTGGGAGTTACTCCAGATCTTCCCCCTCAATATTCAGCCTGGGTAGGGTTGAAATAAATTTAACCTGAGTTCACTGGATTTTTGCACTTTATCAAAATCGGTTCCAATATTCTACACTCAAATTAAAATCTATTTTTTGATTCTCTGTGGCTTTAAGTTCATTAAATGTGAAATTGGCAGCTTGCTAAAGAAGGTCAGACTGATTAACTGTTTAAGACTTGTACATTTTCTGCTTCAGTTTTATTAACTGGCAGCATCCTGGATGTGTTTTGTATTTTGTGATTTTTTTTGATAGAGTAAGCATACGGTTTCAGAAGCAGAGACTTAACCAACTCTCTTTTCCCCTTTGGAAGGTTAAAAAATGATAGAAGCTGTTCAAATGAGATGCTGGAGTATTTTGGTGCAAAGTTAAAAAAAAAAAGGAAACAGGAATGAAAGACATATCTACCTTGTTATACCATCCACTGGTGATTATGTGTGTAGAAATAGTCCCATAATGAAGCGTTTTGGAGCTCATTCAGAAAATTAGTCAACTTTGACAACATTAGGCGAAGTATTTCAAGTCTAAAGAAAGGACTTCTCAGCCTTGTTCTGAAATGTGGCGTTTGCTTGACCATTCTGATTTTTATGTGATGGAGGCCACCAAGTGCAAACATGTTTAGAATATTTTAGGCATTCCTTTCTTCAGAATGAAAAAATGACTAATTGGCTTATTTTCTTAAGTACTCAAAAGTATCCCATTTAGCTAATGTGTCTGAGAAGAATTGTCAGTGAATTTGGTATTTCTTTGATTTTGTGGCACTGCTGAGAGTGAGATCAGAAAGGTTTTTGGCAGTATGAATTATGCTGCGTTATGATTATTATTTAGATCCGTTTCACAGGTGAATGCAGTCGTTTTCTTATTATGACGGTGTAAATGTGGCACATTTTCTGTGTGATATAGTAGCTTTCTAATTTATGAAGCTATGTCTCTGTATACTTAGGAGTATATACATTCACACACAAAGGGTGTGTGTGTTTATTCACCTCTCTTTTATTCTTTGGCACAATGGACAACTTAGTCTATAGGAAAAAAGAAACAAATTTGGTTTCAGTACATGTTTTTACCAGTTTGGGGGGTAGTTATTATTTAAGCTTTCTTTATATTCCCTGCGTGAGGATTTATTTAACAGTCAACATTGTTTCTAAACTCGCAAACCAAACACAGTTTATAGTGTGTGTGTGTGTGTGTGTGTGTGTGTTCTCAGGAGTTAGGCAAGTCAGAGAGTTTTCTTTAAATATATGATGATTTGCCTCATTGATAAATTTGCTTTCTTGTTGATCATCTTCACATCCTTACATGTTTTAGGTGCTCATGTTTTCTGGGTATTATATGAAGGAGCCTAGAAACACTTTATATAATGTGGTGGGATGGGATGGGGTTGAGAATGTATTTCCCCCTTTTCTCTCTTCTCTGGCGCTCTAATAATTGTGCTTTTGTTTCTCCAACCACAGCCGAACCTCTTGAAGCCATTCTTACAGATGATGAACCAGACCACGGCCCTTTGGGAGCTCCAGAAGGGGACCATGACCTCCTCACGTGTGGGCAGTGCCAGATGAACTTCCCATTGGGGGACATTCTTATTTTTATCGAGCACAAACGGAAACAATGCAATGGCAGCCTCTGCTTAGAAAAAGCTGTGGATAAGCCACCTTCCCCTTCACCAATCGAGATGAAAAAAGCATCCAATCCCGTGGAGGTTGGCATCCAGGTCACGCCAGAGGATGACGATTGTTTATCAACGTCATCTAGAGGAATTTGCCCCAAACAGGAACACATAGCAGGTAAATGAGAAGCAAGGAGAAAAGCTGTTTGCATGTTTTCTTTTCATTTTCAGAGGTGCTGTAGCCAAGCACTAAGGAGTGGTGAAGTGCTTTCTGTATTTCTCCATGTGACTGTCCCTGACAGCCCTGTAATGTTTAAAATAATCATTCCTATTGCTTACATCCAGAACACAAAAAAATAAATATTTTCCACTTCACTGAGTCAGATGTAGGGTGGTACACACCTGATGCCCTCTCTCTGGATCTACTGATACTGAATTTCTTTTCTTTTTTTTCTCACCTTCTTATTTTTAAGCGTTGAACCTTACTCTACGTGGCCCAGTTTCCACCGTCCATTTCCAGTCATGGTGACAAGTCAGAGGCAAAAGTGGCCATACAGGCATTTGGTGGTTCGGCCGATGACCTCTTTGAGTCTGAATACCTGGTCAGACCTCCCTAGGGTTACAGTTAGTTCTCAAGGCTTCCATGAAGTGGGGTGGGCTGGCAGGATGTTTTGGAGTGGCTAGAAAGAGTTAACTGAGCTTCAGGGCTAGCCTTGGATCCATATTGGCTGTCAGCCCGTATGGGGCTGTAATTAAACACAGCCCCGTGGTGGGATGACACTGTGACCTTGACTTTAAGATGCCATTTTCGACTGGCCAGGCCAGAGTAGAGAGGGCAGTTGCTGAAGCGCACAGACATGCTTACTCGAAAAGTTTAAGGGCATGTTGGAAATTTCAAAAGGTTGGTTTGACAGGAACGGCTGCTCCCTGCAGCCTGCCTCCTCAGCTAAATGATAAATGCTTCTCTGTGCTCCCTCTTGTCTCTGATGTGGTTTTGACAGATGTATCTTGATTTTGTTTGTGGTTTACACAACCACATGTCACCCTTACAAATGTCCAGTCCAGACTTCCCCTGTTTCTGCTATAACACAACGTAAAAATTCTATTGGAAAAACACATACCCATATTCAACAGCTCTCCTTCTTTCGGTTAATTTTAGCAGAGAGGTAGCTAGGTGTGTGGGTTTCTCAGCAGCTCACGGGGAAAAGGAATTAGCTGGCTAACAGAGGGACTTAAATCCCTACTCTAAGCGATAAACAGCAGCCCTATATAGTGACCCTTAAAATGTGTTTTTGTGAAACAACAGTGACTTAGCACACAAGACAGAGTGAGTGCAGAGTCTGTGGTGACAAAAATACCAAGGCTGTTGGTGGACCCCTTTCTTCTGTTTCCCCCTGCCCCCTTCCCTAAAAGGCAGAAGGTTTGTTCAGTTTTAGGAAAGAGTGCATATAATCAATTGATTCACTGAAACTTGTCTTTCTGACCTAGTTTGACCATAGAGTTGAACTGTAGTAGGTCAGTGGTCCAGAGGGGATTAAATGTCGTATTATTTCTCCTTTTCCCCTCTGGAATTTGATCATTAAAATGAAACGTGGCATTTTCTTTCTTTCTTTCTTCTTCTTTTTTATTTTAATGTTTCCTGCAATAACACTCAGATACTTTTCATTTAGTGAAACGAGAAATCTGTACCAGAGGAGCTGCATTTACAAAATATTTTTCTAGACTCCACCACATTTAGCTTAAGTGACATGTAGGTTAAGATTTTATACCCTCGCTCCCCCTACCCCCCCAGTAGGATATGGCAATGACCATTTCCATGTGCTGTCTTGTGACTGGAAGGAAAACGTAAGGCATGATTAATGAAGCAAGAGCCGGCAGAAGGGGATTTGTCGACTTCGGAGATCCAAAGCCTTTCTAAATCACCAAATATGGAGTAACACTTGCGTGATGTAACATCATATTTACATATCGAGCTGCTCGTTTAAAAGACAAAACACAGTGTCTGTCAAGCAGGAATTAAAACCACACTTCTTACTGAGGTCCCAAATAGGTTATTCACTCTCAGATTAACCAGCTCCAAAATTCTGTGCTTCTGTACTTAGAAGAGGAATCTAAAAGCTGGGGGGAAGGCACTGTAGTGAAAGCTTTTTACTGTGATAGTTGTGAATCTACGTAAGGAAAGAAGATATTTTCTTTAATTTCTGGTTGTCATAAAGGTTTTTTTTTTTCTTAAAACCTGGTACAATAGCAGAGCCCAGAGAAGCACCCCGCCCTGCCAAAAACAAAAACAAACACAAACACAAAAGAAAGCAAAAGGAAAAGAAAGCAAATTTAAAATATGTTTTAGAGTGCTAATACTAAATAATTTCACTGAGATGAAAAGCAGTGTAAGGTATCTAAGATATTCAATGGGTGCACCAGCGCTGCAACCCAGGTGAGGTAAACCTTTCATGCACAAATAATTACAAAGTCTTGATTCCTTTCATTGTGTTTAATCACCTGTTCCCACCCTGGAATTGGCTGAACATAAATAGCGTGGTCACATCTCAAAGCGAGATGTCAGTAACTAGAATCACGACTTCTCATAATTCACAGTAATGAATTAAGAGTTTCCTATGGTGAAATTAACATTCTACCATTGCACATAAATTAAGATGCCCTGGCCCTCAGGTGCCTCTGAACGGAAGTTCTGGAAGACGGCTGTGCACAACTAGCCCATTTCTCTCCAGCCCACGTCTTCCCAGTTCCAAGTCTGCTTTTCTTTTTATGGTGAGGAAGGAAACAAGAAGAATAATCATTCAGTAGATATTTGAATTGTGTCACAAAAAGAAAGGAGAAGCAATACTCCATATTAGGAGAGAGATCTATTGATGAATCTCTAGAAGAATATGTTTGGCAACCACATAAAAGGTAGTCATTTAAGTGCGCTGTGTAGGATAAGCTTTATTAAAGTGATGTAAGTTGGATTTGAGCTCAGTGTGCTCTGTGCCATTTTATAGGCAGGAAGCAGGAATAAAACAATGACAGATTTTCCTGAGATAAATAAAGCTTAGAATTTGGGGCTTTCAGATAGGAGAATAAAGTAGAGTTCTTTAAATCCTTAGTAAAGTGATATGCATTTTGACTGTACACAGGCTTCTCCAAGATCAGTATTTTTTTTTTTTTTTAGGAAAGGATGGTTTTTACCTGGCGAATAGGTGGGTCTGTGCTCCAGCACTTCACCCATGTACGTCTGTTAACACATTGACGTTAATCAGTTTGGTTTTTCATTTCATTCAAAATTAAAAATATTGCGTGACTGTGATCCATTGAGACCATTGAAATAGTATTCACTTAACTGGAAATGAGCAGGTTATATTGCGTGGGGTCCAGTGCATGTATTTGTGTTTCAGATACTCACCACGAGGTATGAGCAGCCTGTGTGTGACTGGCAGTCAGGGCTTTTAATAGGGGTGTTGTTGTGTTTTCTAGTCTCCTGTTTTATGATGGGGGAAATACTCATCAAAGACTAGTGAATGGGAAACTGCTGTTCACTTATAGAAAAGGCCAAAAATATAATCCCACAGTGTCAGATTTGAGGTTTTGGCTTCTTACACACGAAATCTTCAAATTAGGGTTGGGCTGTCATGAAGTTAGCTTTTTAAGAGAATGGGAGAAAATATGACCAGTGCTATAAAATGTAGTCAAGTCTACTGCCATTGATAAATATTATTTTTTTCTCCTTAAAATTATGAACATAGGCCTTTATATCAGATATTTCAAAATATTTGCTTAGGCAATATACCTCATCACTGGATAAAAATATGTAAGACAGTTACTCTAATGGGAGGGAGAAATACTAATTCAAAACAAATACATCAGCATGTTACTTAAAGGTAAATCAAGTATAACATGCTTTTCAGAATCTAGAAAATCAACTTGCCTTTTCCTTTTGTACTCATTCTAATTCTCTAGCTCAGACTGGATTTGGGATGTATTTGTATACTTCATGGTGTAACTGTAAATGAGACTATAAATTGTAGTATCCTAGTATGACTACTTATTTTTAATTTCTCTTTATTCAAGTGATTGTGAATAAAAACTACTGACTTCTGAAGTGAATTTTTAGCATGGCAGCTGAAAAAGAAAACAACAAACAAAAAAACCCCAATGTACTGGTGAACATTTTACTTACCTTCCGAATCCAGAGAATAGAGAATATTGTTTCCTTATATATATCTAGGATTTTCATTGGGAGCCTGTGTTTGTGAGGCCACTACCCAAAGACTCATGTTCATGAGTTTGGGAGTCCTGTATACAAGCTGTATTTGTAAATAAGACCGAGAAAGGTTGTGAACTGGCAGCTTGGATGTTTTGTCAAAGTACAATGTCAGAGAAACTCTCTCTAAGACAAATTGTAAATAGAACTGTCACAGTGATTGCATGATTGAGCCACAGAAGTGTCTTACAATTGTTGGCATTGTCAGAGGACTTTTGAAAGCTTAATTAAACACAGTGGCCCGCATGGATGCTAAATTTACTTCAGAAAGCCAAAAAGGAAAAAAAATTTTTTTAAATGTGGAAGATCCCAAAGATCCCAAAGTTCTTCAGACACTACCCTTTCAGTGACACAGAAAAGAGGCATTGTGCATTTTCCTACTTGTCTTTTATAAATAATAGTTTTGAGAATAGGGCCACGTGATATGAAGATCATCCTGTGTGTGATGTAGAGATTGTGTTAGTTTTTCTGTCTCCTGCTGTTACAGACAGTTAATGTAAAAATGGCCTTTTATTGGAAACACAAATATGTATTCACTTCAAGAACAGGAGCAGAGGGGGAAAGTTTCCCTCCCATTCTCTGTGTTCATTTTGTGAAAGCTTAAAAAAACAGTGCTGTAATTTCTTAAATCACCCCATTCCTTGTGTTGCAAGTTGTGCCTTTTACTTTAAAGGATCTGAAATCTGTTTTGCACACCTTTCTCTGAGTGAATGTGGCATTTAATTGTGGAGCTGCCCATGGGCTGGAAAATGCAACTGGGTGTAGAAACGTGCAGGCAATGTCAGGACAGCGAAACTTAAGCTCAGGGAAGAGGAGAGTTGGATGCATATTAATGGCACATTTTCGAGTCCTGGAAAATCATTAATTTCACACCATAGCCTCAATGTAGTTTGGCTAATGTGGGAGGACTAAATTGGAGT